GTGTATGTATTCCCGGCCATCCGTAAGGATGCAAAGCATTTATCCGCCTCTATTGGTCCCAGAGTCCCCGTTAATTTGGAGATGTTACTATGTTCGCGAGGGTGAAAAAGAAAAAAGAAAAAAAAAACAGGAAAAGACATGCATACATGCAGAAGCACACCGTTGAACAAATCCACATGTTTGTACAAAACGGATTACCAAAAAAGAGGTTCCCATGTCCTCGTCATAAAGTCAATCCATGATCGTGATGTCCTTACATCCAAACCGTATCCAAGTCCAGGGAACGCGAGTCGACACCAAGCTCTAATGTGTGTAGGGGCCATGGCCCATGGGGATGAGCAGAGGGGGAAGGGAAGGGAGGGTTATGAAAAGTGCCGTGTTCTCAGGCAAAAACAGCYGTGAATGTGCGTGCGTCATCCTCAAACACATGCAGGAAGGAGTGGCAGACCCTGAAGCGCTTTTCGTCGCTCGCCACRCGACTCATCAGAGGGGTAACCTGCACTCACAGTCATTCCGGGAAAGTGAAWATGCTGGGTTTTGCGGGGGAAGCGTGGAGATRAAGATAAGGAAGRAGAGAAAGGCAAGCAGCGCCATGAGAAATGCGAAGCAAAACGCAATAACATCCCAATGCATGTATCCGTCCGAGAACGCAAACTGTTCTCCAACTCCGCCGCTTTGCAAGAAGCTGAGGAAACCGTAGCCATGCCACCGTTCGCAGAACCCCATTTGTTCGAAGAGCACTGTGGCAACAGAGGGGAGGCAGGCGGTGGTTCAGATGACAGGAAGGGGAGGCGGAGTGGGAAAGAGGAAGAGATAGAGACTGTACCAGGGGGGAAGATTGAGGCGCTGATTTCGACGGATGGCGGCATCTCCTCCAGAGGGGAGGCTGATAAGGACGCACGATTATACCATGTCTTCGTCCTCCTGCTGTGCCTTAAGGAAGTCTGGGTCCAGCGGGAAGTCCATCCGAAGCAGCGTCTCCGGTTCTCGCCGTGAACAGGCAGATGCACTCACCAAGGATTACTTCACCAGGCACCTCCTACTCTATCAAGACGATGTTGCTCAATCTTGTATTCAATCGTGATGGTCCCTTCCCTCCCTGTTGTCTAATATTATTCAGCCCGTGACCCACCCCTTCCTCCGTGTTCAATCACTCCCTCAACACAACACCCCTTTCCTTGCCATATTTCGACTCGTCCGAATCTGGGTGGTCACTCTCGTACTATTCATTTAAACAGTCCCCCTTGGTTCGGATGGTGGTATCCCACGAAAAAGGTATGACAACCTCAAATTGGGTGAAGGGGGATCAAGTCCTAAAGTTGGATGGGGCAAAAGTAATCTTCCCCAACKTTGAGGACTCGGCGAACACCCGCTTTGGCATGCTGCAATCTGCTGCCCTAGATGGATGTCTTTTCCTGAATTAAGGCAGGGCATTGCAATAACTTAAAGAAGAAGGAAGGAAAATTGAAGCAAGAAATAGWAAAGGCAAAGTCCACGCGAGGTTTGAACCCGTATTGAGATCTATATTGGGCCAGGTCAGGAAAGACCTGCTGGTACAGCTCGCTTGAATTCCAGCGACAAAACCAATGGGCCAGGCTAGAGTGGCTAAAAATAAGGGGTCTCAAAAGGTCAGGACCGCATGAGGAAACTTACYTTTGGCTCCCTCCTTATCCAAGGCACCAAACCTCTGCTCAAAAGCACCGAAAATTTCACCGAAAATGATACCACCTATTAACCGTTAGTGATATGTACTGTTTGACGATATATATCCTGTCTCTTATACACATCTAGATGTGTATAAGAGAGGCACCAAACCTCTGCTCAAAAGCACCGAAAATTTCACCGAAAATGATACCACCTATTAACCGTTAGTGATATGTACTGTTTGACGATATATATCT